AGGTAAACACGTGAAAAACCACTGTCGGTCACTTGAAAAAATGGCTATCAGGCTCCGTGGCCTAGGTTTCTCACTGAGCGGGAATTCAAATCCTCGTCCCTCCTAACAACTTTTTTTTGAAAATTGTTCGCTTTTAACGGCATTTTTCGGGAATTTCGGATTTTTTTCGAATTTTTTCGCTATAATATTGGGAAAATAGACAACTTTTTGAACATTTTAATGGAATAAAAATTTTTGGTCGGAGTCCCCCTTTAATGAAAATTAACAGTTAACAAAAGTACAGTGCGTCCAATAAGTTTAGGACCCCCTATATTTTGGCCCTTTGGCCAAAACTAGAATAGTTATTGAAAATCTGTAAATGCAGTTCGATTCCAAATGTAAAATAACCCCTGGAACCAAATTTTGGGTATCGTACCATTTTTAGTGCCCGAGTACCACCAAAAAACACTTTTTCAGCTGTCCAATAAGTTTAGGACCCCCCAGAAATTTTCGAAATTTTGGAAATTTTTGTCGAATTTTCGCTTCAAAACCGAAAATAACTTTTTGTTTCCAGCTTTTTTCGCAAGTTCTCATAAGTATTTGAAAAAATTTTCATCTTTTGTCGACTTTTCAAATCATCATTTTTCGGGTAATTTGGTAAAAATGACCCAAAATTTCAAAATTTCAATAAGGAAACGGGCATGGAACATACAGAACAAGATGTTGAGAAGTGAATTTAGGTACTGAGAGCTCATTCAGAACCTTGATGGAGTACATACGCTACGATGATCCTGCCATCCATAAGATTTTCCAAATTTGCGAAAATAGTGGAGTGGCAAATTAAGAGAAATGTGTCTTAGCGGTCTAGAAACAATTCAAATTGCTTTCAATCGATGTAAGAATGATCAGACAAGTCTTTCTCAACATTGTCCCAACTTACTATGTCCAGGATCCACATGTGGAAAATCATCAATTTATCAGTGGTCGTAAATCTTATGGATGGCAGGATCATCGTAGCGTATGTAAAAAGGGACGGTGTTGAAAATGGGCAGATAATCCAAAAAGATAGAGACAGACAAAGAAAAACAGAGCAAAATGATTGATTGTACTTGAAAGGAACGGGAAAAAGAAGAAGCTACAAAAAGTAAGAAAAAAAGAAGTATTACAAAAAAAGAGAGTTCGTAAAAGTTAATCTTCTTCTTCGAGATTCTTCTTTGCTTTTCGACTACGACGTTTTCGTGTTTTCGGCGCTGTGTTGCAGAGTTCCAGGGGTCTTTTGACTTTGTTCAGACGGAAGTACAAGTTACAGGCACTGAAATAATTTAACTTTTTGATTAAACTATTCTGGAACGAAAGTTTGGAGCAGTAGTCGTGACCGACTGAAAAAACTGAAAACGCACGATAACTGAAAAAAAACCGATCCTGAAAATAAAAATATTTTCAGGTTACGGTAGTTATCGTTGTGAACAGTTATCGTTGTGAACTTTTATACCAGAATAATAATAAAGAAATCATAGTTTTTTAGGTTGCTGTCAATTTCAAAATACAGTAACCTTCTGGAACGTT